CAGGTTTCGAACTCGCAACTAACCGCATGACTTGCCGCCGTCTCTACACAACAACCAAATCAGGCAAAAAAAAAACGAGAAAGAAAGCCTATCTTCGGCACGCCGAAGATCTAATACCCTTCCTGACCCAACCTTTTCATAATGCTTATAGTGCTTTGCCCGTATCTAAGAAGCACAGGGAAATTAGTTAATGCCGAGTTTGGGCAAGATATCTTGATAAGCAAAATGTTTTTTTAACAACTTGATTTTCGACCGATTGTTCCTATTGCAGCTATATGATATAGTGGTCCGATCTTAATAGTATTTTGCAGATATATTAGGAGTATAGTTAAACAAATAAATGTTTGGTCAAAATATCTTGAAAAACAAAATGTTTTTTCATACAACAACTTAATTTTCGACCGATCGTTCCTATGGCAGCTATAGGATATAGTGGTCCGATCCAGCTGGTTTTGACATATGTGCTGCGTGCAACAGAAAGAGTGACTTCTGCAAAGTATCATTATGTTAATTGCCGTTAGAGCCACTCTCCAGTCACAACTTTTCTGTCAGTACGCCTACTGACGCTGAGATTGTCTCAGTTAAGGTGTCTTTTCCTACACGGAATATCTATTTAACATGCTCTTATGTCCATCCTTCTTCTGATACTCAAGTTTATTTGAAACATACATTACTTGTATTAAAGAAGTTTCTTCAAACTTGCGTGATAATGACCTAGTTATGGTGTTGGGTGATTTTAATTTGCCGAATATCTCTTGGTCATTATTCACTGCTGAAAATTATCTAATGCCCTCAGCACAGTACGATTTTATAGACTGCATGCTTGATCTTTCGTTGTTTCAAATCAATTCAATTTCTAATCATTTGAATAGAACACTTGACCTTGTATTTGCTAATGACTACCTTATTTCTAATGTGTCTAGGTCCTCTCTTTTATCTCTTCCTGAGGATGTCTATCATCCTACTTTAGAGATTGCAATGCTCAATTGTAATCCTTTCATTTCGTGCTAATCGTGCTGTTGCTTTCGCAAAGGAAATTATTCTTTGCTAAATCAGCTTATTTATGCAACCAATCGGTTGATTTGAATACTGCGATTAATTTTTTTTATATCACCCTAAACTCCCTCTTAGATGTGTGTATTCCTAAGTCAATTCCTTCGACTACTTTTTGAAAACCACCATGGTTTACTCCCAGATTATCACATCTAAAAAATGTAAAATCTAAATATTTCAAAAAGTTTAAAAAGTCTGGTTCGCGTACAGACTTGGCTACATGTTCCTTAGCCAAGTCGAACTTCTTTCTTCGTAGTTCTCAATGCTATGATATAATTTTGTAAACTTGAAGCGTAAATCTTCAAGTTTGCCATCTTCTTTTTCTCTTGGGATGGATAAGGATTCTGCTAACCTCTTTGATAATTTTTTCCAATCAACTTACTCTTTAGTGTGTCCTAACACTAATTCTTACCCTTATACTATTTCTACCGCTAGTTCTATACCTCCTCCCATTATTTCACACTCCTCTCTCCTATTAGCTATAAACTCTTTAAAATCTTCTTACTCTCCTGGGCCGGACAATATTCCTAGTTGTCTACTAAAGGAGTGTAGTTCTTCCCTTCTTTATCCATAGCTAAAGCATTTTAATAATCTATCTCTTGAAACTTCTGTCTTTCCATCTCTTTGGAAAGAATCTTATTACATTCCTCTTCACAAGAAAGGTGGGATATACAAAATTACAGGGGCATTGCAAAACTGTCCGCTATTCCAAAATTATTTGAAAAAATAATCACTTCGAATTTGCAGCATTTCTGCAAATTAGTTGTTTCCCCTGTTCAACATGCATTCGTAAAGAATCGGTCAACTACAATCAATCTGCTTGAGTTTACTTCCTTGGTAAATGATGATTTCCTGCAAACTGAGGTCATTTACACTGACTTCAATAAGGCGTTTGACTCTGTGCACCATGACATTTTACTTTTTAAACTTGACCGACTAGGTTTCCCTCTGTCTCTTTTGCTTTGGATTAATTATTATTTAAAAGGAGCCAAAGACTAATGCTGACTAAGGCTGACTACACACAGCTACACGTTACTTCTGGTGATCCTAAAGGTAGTCATCTTGGACCTTTACTCTTTACTCCTTTTATAAATGATCTCCCCTCTGTTATATCACATGCCCGTGTACTCATGTATACGGACGATGTCAAACTTTTTCTAACATACACTAATCCCCTACATTCAAGACGATTTAATCGCTATGCAACTTTGGTGTTCGGCCAATCAATTGCATATAAATTGTTCAAAGTGTATGTTTATGACATTTAATCGTACTACACCTTATCTTGTCAGTTATACAATCGACAATATCCCTTTGCAATACTAACAGTTAGGGATCTAGGCGTAATTTATGATTCTAAACTCTGTTTCAATCTTCACATAGATACCATCTTCACACAGATAACACTTTTTTCCCACTTACAACCTTCTGCTTAGATGTAGGCTCTAATAGCGTCACTGACAAAATTAGCGGGGCACAGCTGGCCGGACTGGCAAATAAAACATGGGTCGGTGATGCTATTTAGAAAATTGCATTCTTTAACTAGGCTTTTAGTATATAATTCTATTATCCATTGTATAACCTATTGAATAATGAGGAAGACACTCGTTTTGTCGACCATTAATAAATAAATAAATAAATAGCTTTAGGTCGGAGACTAGGTCGCATAGAAACAGACAGGCGGGCAGACGGACATGGCTTTATCGACTCGGATGTTGATACTGATCAAGAATATATATACTTTATGGGGTCGAAGATGTCTTCTTCGATGCGTTACACATTTCACGACAAAATTATAATACCCTCTGCAAGGGTATAAAAATATTGTTTCCTTGGCAGGGCTCGAACTCGCGACCGACCACACTACTTGCCACTGCCTTTAATCAACAGCCACACCAATCCCAACTGCAATGCTGTTGACAGAATTCGAAGCAGACCCGCATGAATGTGTGCGTACACGTATACAGAAATTCATGGAATTTGCGCTAGCTGCCGCAAACAAATGAAAGATACCTAATACATATATAATATTTTAGAAGCAACATATCATAAAATAGATTGACACGGCTATTGATGCTACTCAAGAATATATATACAGTTGAGAAGAAAATAATAGCACCACTACCTCAAGCAATTTTTAAATAGTTGCCACACCCACATTCTTAACAGTAAGGAAACTTGAAGCATATTTTTAGAAAGGGAAGACTCTTACAAACATGGGAATAAAAATAAAATCATCCTATTGCTTAACGTTCTTAAGTTTGAAAAAAACTTTGCTGAAATTGATAAAATTAGGCGAAAAAAATAATAGCACCAGTTTTCAAAAATCTATTTAAAATATAACGAGAAAGAAAGGCTATCTTCGGCACGCCGAAGATCTAATACCCTTGCAGACCCAACCTTTTCATATTGCTTATAGTGCTTTGCCCGTATTTAAGAAGCACAGGGAAAATAGTTAATGCCGAGTTTGGTCAAGATATCTTGATAAACAAAATGTTTTTTTATACAAGAACTTAATTTTCGACCGATCGTTCTTATGGCAGCTATATGATATAGTGGTCCGATCTTAAAAGGTTTTTGCACATATATGAGAAGTATGGTAAAACTAATAAATGCCGAGTTTGGTCAAGATATCTTGATAAACAAAATGTTTTTTCATACAAAAACTTAATTTTCGACCGATCGTTCCTATGGCAGCTATATGATATAGTGGTCCGATCCACCTGGTTTTAACATATGTGCTGCGTACAACAGTACACAAGTTTCATTAAGATAGCTTTAAAACTGAGAGTCTAGTTCGCATAGAAACAGATAGACGGACATGGCTCTATCGACTCGGCTGTTGATGCTGATCAAGAATATATATACTTTATGGGGTCGGAGATGTCTCCTTCTATGCGTTACACATTTCACGACAAAATTATAATACCCTCTGCAAGGGTATACAAAAATGTCTAATAACTGAGGAATTCATTGGTTAAGAATTTTGAACTATTAATACTAAATCTATATTCATCATTTAATATTTAGTACAGTGTCCTTTATTAGCAATAAAAGCTGCACAGCGGTCTTGGCATGAAATCAACTGAGTCATGGCATCGTTTTAGGGGAATTTTGGACCAGGACTCTTTAATTTCTTCCCAAAATGATCTGATGGTGCTGGGAAGCAGCAACTGCCTTCTTGACTTCGGATTACAGATTTTCGATGGGATTCAGGTCAGGCGACTCAGCAGGCCACTCCAAAACGTTCCCAGAGTTTGCTAAACCTTTCTTTTGCTTTCTTGCTGATGTGTTTGAGGGCATTGTCCTGTTGAAAGAGCCGTACGAGGGGCATTTCGTATTCTACAAAGGGTAGCATAACTGTCTTCATGATATTCTCACACACGTGCTGATCCATGGTTTTCTCCAATGTATTGGACCTACTCCATAGTAGGAAAAGCAGGCCCATACCATTACACTACACCCTCCATGCTTAATGGGTTAAAAGGTGTACTGGGGTTTGTATTCTGTGTTCCTTGGACGTCTAACGTATGATCCAGATCTCTTTCCACCAATCATAGCCACCTATGACTCATCTGACCATAGAATATTCCTCCATTGTTGGGATGTCCAATTTGCATGATCCCTGGCAAACTTCCTTCTGCCTGTTACATACAAATGCACAAATACATAATACCCTATTTACCCCTTTTCAATGGGTTCAGGGTATAAAAATCAAAACCAAATAACAGTAGGATTTAGATTACCATAAGAATAAACGAGAAAGTAATATCAACGGTACAATGAATATTTAATACACTGAAGACAGTTATCTTATGATATTTTCTGCCTGCAACAGAAGACCTCAACAAAGTTTTATGACAACTTTTAAGCTCAGACACTAGTTTATAAGTTACACATTTTATGACAAACGATGGTAAACTACAAGGGTATAGTAAACAAACAAGTTAATGTAAATGTTTTGCTTTTTATTTGATTTTCGTAAATAAAAGAACATATTTGATATTAATGTCTTATAAAGAATTATTTTTAATCTTTATGGAAATGAGATGTAAGAGAAAAGTCTAGCCGAAGCAGAGCAATAGTAAAGAGAAATATAATGTAAATAAACAAAATAACTAAAAATGGTTCTTGTAGCAGTGATATCTTTGAAAATCTGTATTTAAGAGTGAACTGTGAAATGTGACTTTCCACTAAATTTTGTTGCGAGAAAGAAACGACAGGACGTCCCACAGTATCCAAATAGGTATGAATCAAGTCGTTTTGACGCCGTTTTATGCTATATGGTGTTACAAGTTCAATATTTGATGAACCTTCTGGTAATATAATAGTTACAACGGCTTCATCGATTGACATATTGTCGTGAATATGGTCAATAAGATGCATTTTTAGCAAATATTCGTTGCCAGAGCTGAATAAATACTCATAAGACGGTACATTGTAGCCAAGAATGTATTGTGTTTTCCATCCCCCAAATAATGGAAATCTAGGCCGTAATTCTAGTTCAACCGAGTCCCGTAATAAATTCATATTTGATGTAGAAATGTTACCATTGGTATCACGATAGTATACACCAAATGCGGATGCCGGTAAATATGTTTTATATGATTTAACAGCTGATTGTCCAGAACGACCATCCTTTTGAAAATCATATCGCGAAAAAGATCCTTTAAGTTTAGCACCGGTGTGTGTCATATGAATTGACTCCTTAACGGCAATATTACCCCAATGTGATACTTCAATAGTACGACCCAATGTGTTTACTGTCAAAAATGGCGATTGATTTTCATAGTGAATAACCAACTCCTCATCTGCTAATCCTAATAAATATTAAAAATTAGTCATTAAAATTAAGCGAATATAGAAAACTTACTTTCGATGTTTTCATACGGTCCCAAAAATATTTTATTCGACGATACTAAAAACGGCTTAGCTTGAGTATGTGATAATATATTTGACGAACTGAGTATAACGTTGGTTTTTTGCGCATATGTTTGGTATTTGGAATAAAGGTAAAGACTACCCACAAATTTGACTAATTGTTTATCATTTTGTTTGATATGTGATGGATATGCTAGTATATTTTTAGTCGAAACTGTTTCTATGAGTAATGTTTGCTTAGAAGAAAATTCGGAAAAAGTTAGATTAAATTTTAACAAGTTGCTTCCATCTTCATGATTCTCTTCCATTTCCACTTTTTTATTAAATCCATCTTTGACAGAAATGTAAGATAAGTTTGGCTCTCTTACAATAAACTCATAATCCTTTATAGGTTTTCCGGATGTCTCTTCGACTGTTAATTTGTATGTTGTCTTTACGAGTTGTGAAGTAATATCTAAAGTTCTTTCCAAGTTTTTATTTATTACGTCAGCTATTGTCAAATTTAAGATTAAAGATATAATCATCACTACATAGAAAATCCAATTCGTCTTCATTTTTACGATTTTTGACACGTAATGCTGAACGCGTGCAAGATTATTTAGTTCATTTATACACTCACAGCTCGTTGGTCCAAATAACAATGTTCAATTGATCTGCTGTTCATTTTATTTAGTTCCGATTTAAACTAATCTACACAAACCATGTGCGTCAAGTCAGCATCGCACACAGCGTCGAAAAAGGAACAGTGTAAAGGGCTAGTTAACGATTATTGATTGCATTTTATATGCATTATATAGTCTGTCTTTCAGCATTTTATAAAAATAAAGACGGCTATGTAAAAACATTAAATCGCCCATGAAACCATTTACACACTAATTGAATTTTTAGGAAAACGAAACATATATGTAACTCAAACATACTTCCCAAAAACAAGTGCGATATTCAGTAGATATTGCTGCTTATGCATAGCAGAATAGCACAAGAGAAAAACACAAGTCTACTGAGCGCCACCTTTCGATAGTGGAAAAGACTTGTATTCGCTCATGCACAATTGTATTATGCCGAAGCAAAACGATATTATGACATTTATATATTATACGGTGACATATTTACAAAAATACAACCTATGCATAGCAACCATCAGCAGCATGTACTCTATCACAATCCGCACAATTCAATACTAACAATCATTCCATTAGCACGCCATCTGCAGATCCACTCGACTACAGTCAACAAACTGTTTGTACATAAAAAAAGTGACCAATCAAAAGACATATACAGAAACTGCTGCCCCTTTGCGTCAGTCCAAATATAGCTTACGCTTACGCTTAAAGAAATATTAAATATTTATAGATGCAAATTTGACAAGATTTGAAGTTTTTGGATCTACTTGTGCGCACATCCACACAACACAAACGTATGAATGTTTGTAGATCTCGGGGTTTAGTGGGAAACTTTGCAGGGAGAAAGAGATGGATGCAAGTGCGCGAAGCAATGAGTGAGAGCGAGGCACATGCATCACATATATTTTTTTGGGCTGCATATGATTTAATAATGGCATACATATATTAAGAAAACGCATCATCAGCCGCGACGTTGTGCGCTGAGCGAGATGCGGCTTCATACTGAACGTTCGGCTTTTGAGCCCGGCGTTCGGCTGCCACTCTCAGCAGTCTTACTCTGTCTGGGCACACTAAAATGGTTGCAGGTACCATTGGGGTCGCCTAGTTTCGATTTTTCTTGTTTCGATAAAAAGTGTCATTTGGTATGTTTATACATTGTATGGTTAGTGCTATTATTCAACTACATGTCGAGTTTGATTACTCTAGCTCTAAAAACATTGGATTTCGATAACAATTCTCATCGATTACTTGGAACCGGGAAAGCTATCGATTATCGGTGAACTCGGTATACCTGTACTGCGCGGATACTTGGGGAGCTACGATTCAAATTTCAAGTCTCTAGCTCTTAAAGATTCTGAGATCTTGCGTTCCTACATAAGGACAGACGGACAGCCATATGGATATGGCTAGATCGACTCCGCTATTGATGCGAAGATGCTTCCTTATGCATATTAAATACGTTTGAATTAACCCTTTCAAACCAAATTTTTTTCCTGTAGCTTGGAAATTTTGTCTTAACTGGTAATCAAATTATATTTATTTTAGAAGTAATTATCCAAAATTTCAAGTAGCCACGCCCATCCGCTTGGGTGCTACCGGAAGTTAAGCAACGTTGGGCAAAACAAATTTTATTTCCCATGAAAACCGCAAGCAATTTTCTTTGCAAAATTAAAGAAATTAAGTATGATAGGACAAAAAGTTTTTATTCTTATTACAAAAGAGATGCAGCGTACACTTAAGGCATTTGGACATTAGTGTTCCTGTATTGCACAACCTGCAACCCCCTTTTTTGCCAAATAGTACCCAATGTTCCACTTGCACTTTTTTGTCTGTTGCGAAGAACACACTGGTCGATGTACACCCAATGGATGACATCGGGCTATCCCTATCCAGATTCGATGGACGACCTCTTTTTTTTTTTAATTGAAGAAGAGGCAGTAGACTGTAAAAGTGCATCAACAATTTCCAGTCGAAATTTTTAGTATAGCAAGTGTAAATGTTTCCTGAACAGCAGCCACGCATTTGTAATAGATGTTCCTAAGAAACAATAAAATATTCTTATGTACAATTTTCTTGAGCGGTGATTGGTAACAGTCACGCATTTGTAATTGATGTTTCTAAGCAACAATAAAAATTCTTGCATACCATTTTCTTGAGCGGTGATTGGCCTTGACTATTTCTTATTGTACGAAGTAACAATCCCAGGCCTTGCAACATCAATGTAATCCTTTTTATAGGCTCCAATGCTTACACATTCGAACACGTAGATGGTCTGTACATGAAGATATAAGATGAACTGGCTTATTGTCAAACAACTTCAAACATACTGTTGCGCTATTGAGCTTTTTCAATAGCTTTCACAAATAGAAATAATTAACCAGTTATTTTTTGTGTTCAAAATTGTTTTATATTTCTTAAAGTTACGAGAAGCAGGCAGACCCGAATTGGTCTGTGCTTATTATTTAAGAACAATAGTTTATATATAGGCAAGCGAACCCGAATTAGTACGTGCCAATTTTAGCGAAGAGACAATTATTAGTTATAATTTTGAGTAATGCAAGTGGCCGATGCGTACCAAATGCATGAAGCGAACTGACTTACCTAACTCGATGCGCAGCATAAGTAAAGCTAGGGCAATAAAACGATCGTTACAGCGAAGAGCGGCAGCTCTATGTAAATGAATTCTTAAGAGCGAAATTTAGGCACTTGCTTTGCAGAGCGAGTATTATAAGATAAAATTAAGATGCTGCTCTTATCAGTTGCGAGGTCGCTCCAGTTGTTTTGGCTGCGTAACCAGACATTCTCCCCCCGTTGGAAGGCATGGGCTTTCAACAGATTCCCTGATGGGCAATAGGCATAGCTTGCTTGCAGCTCTTCTCGTTTCTCCAGTTGCGGTGCGCAAAATGGCTACTCGAGCGACTCCATCCTTTCCCACGGTTAACTCTGTGATTCTCGCCAGTGGCCACCTTAGAGGCGGCAGATTTTCATCCTTTACGAGGACTATGTCGTTGACGCATAGGCCTGGTTTCGGAGTAGGCCATTTGGAGCGCTGCTGAAGCAGTGTTAAGTATTCTTCACGCCAGCGAGACCAAAACAGTTGTTGGAGGTACGTTACGCGTTGCCAACCATCCAGACGATTGAATTGAAGGTGCGTCACATCAGGTTCAAAGAACAATGAGCTGGGTCCACCAATCAAGGAATGAGCTGGAGTGAGCTATGTGGCAGACTAGGGTGCGAAACTCTTCGAAGTTGAGAACACAAGATCCAACAACACGATAAAAATGATGTTTCGCTGTCTTCACTGCTGCTTCCCAAAGGCCGCCAAAATGCGGTGAACGAGGAGGTATAAATTTTCAATCAATGGAATCAGCCATGCAAAAATTATGTACTGACTCAATATGATTACGACTTATGAATAGACGCTTGAGATCAAGAAGCTCGTTTTTGGCGCCGACAAAGTTGGTGGCGTTATCCGACCATATCTGAGATGGCCTGCCTCGAGTCGATATAAACCTCTTAAGCGCATTCAAGAAAGAAGCTGTCGACACATCCTTGACCAGTTTCAGGTGAACCGCTTTAGTCGCGAAGCAGACGAAGACAGCCATGTAACATTTGACTGGAGATTTATTTCGTACGTCTGGCTTATACAAAAATGGTCCACAATAGTCAACACCAGAGACTTCAAAGGCTCGACAAGCAGTCAAACGTTCTTTAGGCAGATCACCCATTATATGCTCTATTAATCGAGGCTTGGCACGAAAGCATCTCACACATTTTCCAACCACCTTGGATACGGTCTTCCTTCCACCAATCGGCCAATACTGCAACCGAATATGAGCAAGAAGTGCCCGTGGACCAGCGTGTAAGTCCCGATTGTGAAACCGTGTGATGACTGAGTTTGTGATGGGGTGGTGAGACGGGAGAATTATTGGATAGCGAGAGTCGAAATCCAGCGAAGAGTTTTTCAAGCGCCCATCAACTCTAAGAATTCCAAAATCATCCAAAAAAGGGTTAAGTGATGCGATACAACTGGACGGTTTAACACCTCTTCTCGATTGCAATGATTTGATCTCTTCCCACAGGTGTGCTCTCTGGACGAGCCTTAGTAAGAGTTGGGTCCCATGTTGTACATCAGACATTGTTAGTCCAGGATGCCTGCTTCTGTGTATGAATTTATAAATATGCTTCGATGCTGGCGTCGCAGAAACCGTGAACTTCTAACTCTGCTGCAGGTATTGACACGAGACGAGGAAAGAAAGAAAGAAACTGTGCCTTCTCAAAACTGCAGCAAAGATCATGCCAAGCTGTTGCCAGTGATGATGGCTAGCTCTCGTCCCACTCAAGCTTCTCCTTCCAGATCTGCTGCATAAAGATTTTATCCTTGGCAATTACCGGCCCTATGAGTCCAAGCGGGTCATACAAGCGAGCTATGGTCGATAGTATTGACCTTTTGGATGGTTTAGATCTCTGCTGAATGGACGAAAACGAAAACAACAATCGATCCGACGCTGAGTCCCAAGCGAGTCCAAGAGCTACCATCATCAAACTTTAGGGAAGATTCTCTGTCCTCTACGGGTATCCCTTTCAGTACAGCAGAATTGTTTGAGCACCACTTTCGCAACTTGAAGCCCCCACTTGCCAAGATTCCAGCCGTCTGATTAAGAAGATCCTTTGCTTCTTGAATTGAATCACCCCCTGAAATGAGGTCATCAACGTAGAAGTCACGCCGCAAAATCCGAGATCCAATTGGAAAATTGGTTTCCTCATCCATAGACAGCTGATGCATAGCACGGATAGAGAGGAATGAAGCTGGCTTTGTTCCGTATGTAACTGTATCCAGCTTAAAAATCTTTATATCCTGTTCTGGCGAGTCTCGCCACAGAATGCATTGGAGAAAATCATCCGGTGCTGCTTCCAATATCTCCTGCTAGGGCGATCGGGAAAATACGAAAGCGAAGAAGGATATGAAACAGCGAGCTTTGAATAACAG